GGAAGTTTCTTAACCTCCCCTAGTGCTCCCTACCTGAACCCTATAGTTGCTTACAGAGTAAAGAATCTCAATAGCTTGTGAAGATCTGGCGTAACAGAGGGAAGGAAATGATCTTTCTCTATGAATGGCTATCATACGTCAATCCAGATTTTCTTGCAAATCTCCTACCTGTGTATTCCCTGAGACCACATCTGCTGGCCTTCATGCACTGTAAGAAATCCGGGGTTTATAAGATGAAGGGAATCCTCAATGCAAGCTCTTGTGCTACTATGTGCACACAGACTTGCTATGCACTTCAGTGAATCGTTTTGTTGAGATCTTTCCTTGAGTCTATGTTGCCATGTGTCTGGAAGCCTGAAAAAATAAGTAATTCCTCAGAACACACCCAGAAAGAGTGGCAAATTGGTGTATGGCAGTTTTGCATCTTTGATTCTTGTCCTAAGGATAAGGCTGCAGGAGAAGGGGTGGTGGCCTGGACACAAACCTGGAGGGGTGTTCTACCTGACTGATAGCAATTTAAAAACACAAGAAGCAACTGCTGCCAAGTGAGTTAGTGTAAGTCATTGAATGCACTGTTTACATGACATGAAGAACTAGTCAAAGCTGTAGTTACAATATTATTTTTCCTGTATCTGTTCAGTTACCTAAACTCTGCTTGTTCTTTCCCCAAATAGACCTCCAGGTGGTGAAAAAATAGAAAAAATATTTGAAAAATGCTGGTGCACCAGTGTTGGGCAGACTGATAACATACCTCTTAAATCTGTTTCTCCCTGCAGCACTTTGCTTCAGCAAAAACATATAAATTCTGCAGCTTCTTCTGACATACCCACATTGAATACCACAGAAGTCAGTGGTGTTACACTGGTGCAAAAGCTGGTGTGAAATAGGTCAGGAGTCCTTTGTGATTTTTATTGCATTAGGTATATGAAACATAGCTGCTGCCTGTTTAAAGGAAGTAATACATCCTCTCTGTCAGGATGGATGTATTTCTGTCAGAAGGAAGCTGTCACTCAAAACCAAGCTGTGCCATTCTTGTGATGAAATAAGCATGGATGCTGTGCATGCAAAGCAATGTTTTTCCATCTGTGTGTGTTAGACTGAGCATAATGTAATTTTTGGTGTATGTGAATGCCAGGAACCAGGCGAGAAGCCCAGCATGCAGACTGGTTAGCTGCTTGGCCTGGCAGCTCTGTGCTGCCAGTGGAGCAGCACCGCCAGCGTGGTATTTTGTCATAACTGGGCTTGTCTCCAGGAGCTAATTTTTAAACACCAGCAGTTCAGATGTGAATTTTCCAGAGGTGAGCTGTGTTTGACCAGCTGTGTTTGACTGTCACAGACACATCAGTGGAGGTGTCAAGTGCTTTGTGAGCGCATGATAAACAGTTTGAACAAAATTCTCCCCGTGAAAGGTAGTGTTGCCTAACTTTCATGAAGTAGTTACTGGTGTGCTCAAAATCCAGAGCTGTCTGTATTTTCACTTTACCTGTAGTCTTAAATCAAAAAAGGGCTTCTGAGGAACATGAGAACAAACTTTGTTCTTCACCTTCCTATTTATTTCAATACTAAAGGAAGACAAAAAATACATAATATCCCCAAATTCTTGATGGTTTTGGTTATGTCTTGTTTCTGTTCAGAATAAATATATTTGCAGTTTATCGTATGTTATATGCTGCTATTGGGAGGGTGGAAGCCAAAGGCTGTGAAAGATGATAGAATGTTTTTCCCAGTGTGTGCTTAGGCTTAGAATTCAGCTTTTTGCAAGTTCATAAATGTCTAAAGCTTGCTGTATTTGCACAGATGAGCACCTGGGTTTTCAGATAGCAGTAAACCTTCCTTGGGATTTGGAAACTCCATACAAGGTGCATTAAAAGCATATAATTAATCACTTTTAAAACAAAATGCTGAGGCTACCTGCTCTGTACAAGCAGAATGCAAGCTGTCCATTGTTACAAAGTAAACTGCACAAAGCCCCGTGATTTCTAATTAAAGGTCTAAGAAGATCCAACTGAGCCAGTAACTTGATTGTCTCAAACACCTTTTAATGCCTTACAAGAATGAAAAAGACCTACATATTCCCTTCTCAACCATCATTTCTGGAGTGCCTGCAAGCAGGAGTAATTTTTTGTGACTGACCAATGGTGATAAGGAAGCAAATGACATCTTATGGGTGTTTGCAGCACATCTACAATCAGCAGACATAGGGTTTTTTTGTACCATGCTTTTGATGTTAGGGCTCTGCAGGAGGAATGAAGCTATATACCATCACAGTTTTTCTGTTATACAATGAAAAATAAATGACACTTAAATATTTTTGTCACACTTGTCTCAGAGTAATGCAGAACTTAATTTAGTTGAATGCAGAATTTTCACAGTTAAGAGGTTTGAAAATAAAATGCTTCATGGTTTCTAGTTTGCAACCTAGTATCCCAGGAAGCTGCTGAAATCTGTTTCCTTGGGTTGTACAACTGTCACTGACTGTCATGGCTTTTATCTTTCACTGGGGCTGTTATTTCTCAGGACGATCAGGATACTTCCACATTCATAAATGCATTTCATTCAGTTCTCGGATGAAGAACTGCAGTTCTGCCTTTATGGGTGTGGAAGGTGAAGCAGCAGCGTAAGGCTCTGTTGGCGTTGTAGGAGTCCCTGCTCCCATAATCTAATGATACAAGGAATATCCCTAAGAGAGCATGTGTAGTTGAAGGAATATTTCCATGGCCTTTTTAATACGATAAATAAAAATTGTGTTTAGGTTTCCTCTAGAAATAAGAATAAGCACATAGGTATGATCTGGCAAACAAAAACCTGTTTGCAAGATACTGTTTTCCTGACTTAATAATTTTGTTTTGGTTCATAGCGCACAGCTAACTGCACTACAGTTTAGGTTGTGTTAATATTTCCATCACAAATCAAATTTTCAGTATTGTTTTCAGCTGTAAAAGTCTGCTTCAGTCTGAAACTTCTGGCAAGGTGTTTCCCTGCCTGAGAATGAACTTCTTTTTCAACTGAAGTAAATCTGAATTCTTAATTTCTAGGATTTTATTAGCATTTCCAGAGTATTGGTTGCTGTAATGGGAATGCTGAAGTGATTCTCTGGCTGAAAGATACAGCATGTGCTTGTAAAATACTGGTGATTTAATGTACAAAAGATATGTTGTATTACCTGTCTAGTTAAATCACCCTTTGTGGTAAAGGGATTGTAATGCTTATTGTAACAAGCAAGTTAGTTGCCCAGGGAGATACAGGGGAAGGCACTGAGCAGGCTTTTCGACAAAACTTTGCCAGTGTATGCTAATCTTGACTTACAGTATTGTAGCTGCTCCTTTGCTGAGCTGATCTTTGAGTGACTTTGGTTTGTGTTACACTGCAGTGAATTACATGGTGATGTTCAGATGAATGTGGGGTACGATTAGACTGAAACTCCATTATCTGGCCAGTCTTCAGGAGGTATAAAGTGATGCATCTCCTGCCTGTACTGGAACTACTTGCCATCCAGAAGAGTGCAAGAATGAGTTATGTCACAGACTTTTTCTGGTAGAACTTCCAAACAAAGTAGTGGGCGTGGTGTGGATTACTGTCTCCTGTGTCATTAAAAGTAATCTTGGGAACTGATCCCTTCCTTGCCCTGTCTATGAATTCTGGCACCCATGGCACTTCTTTATATGTGTTTAGGCCACTTGAAAATGGCGTAGTTAAAGGAGATACTGTTTTCCTGACTTTAGAATTTCATTTTAGTTCATAGCAGACGTGATGTCAAGTCCTGCCTGCTGGCTGGTGTCCAGACCTAGCTCATGTTAAGAGGGAGAGAATTTATTCACACAGCATCTTTCGTTCATCCTTCAGTTGTGTTTTGCAAGAAGTGCCTCTCAGCCCTCCCCCTCGCAGTACTGTGAAACAAAAGCTTCAGCTTCTCTTTGTAATCAGTTATCTCACAAGCTTCCATTGTGCTGCTGTCCAGCAGCTTATCTGAAGTTGCTATTTGTGTGTTGGTTTTCTCTAGTCCTTCTCCTTCCTTCTAGCATGTGTTTACTCTGTGTGCAGCTCTCCAAGCTGTACCAGTATGTGTGTTAGAAAGCTAGACCGACTGGAGCAGGATGTCAATGCCTCATGTTTTTTCCATTCTTGAGGCAGGATTTCACAGCAGTAGATCACCTGGCATGAAACACTGCTATAACTTTAAGCTGTTACTATGTTATCAAGATACTGCTTTCATAAACTAAGTTACTAAAACATTTCAAAGAGTTACTGTTGAAAAGCACAGCTAATGAATGAGGATCGGCATTTCTGTGTGCTAAAGAGATGTCGTTCTCTGACTTTAGTATCAATATGCAGCAATGTCTTACAGCTTTACAAGAACTTTGAATATGATTTTTCACTCTTTTATTAAATGTAGCTATTTTATCATTATTTATTCAGTTCAGTGCAGCAGTGATAGTCTGATTGGTGTATGACAGACAGCTCCTGTCACCAGTCACCATTTTGCAGTTCCAGAACTTGCATCACATAAATAATTTTGCCTATTCAAATATTCTTTTCTCTGGAGTTCTGTGGGAACATTGAAAATGTTGCAGTCTTCCCTGTATACTGGAAACTGCTGTCACTTATGTATAGACGGATGTTTTGGAAATACGTCTAGTTGAACTGCCCAAATGCAGTGTCAGTTACAAAAGCCATCTTAGACCCTGCCTGTGCTCACTGGAGTCTGTGGGTGTCCTTCATTGACCTCTAGAATTTGGGTCAGGGTCTAGCTGCTGAAAGCAGTCACCTTTTTCTAAGAAAGTATTTGTATATTATGTGTTGCCTTTATTATGCACGTGTAGTATTTAGGTGTCTTTTTAATCACATTACTGATGAAAGCTGTATTAACTACTAGTGTATTCATATTGCAGATTTGATGTAACTATTGATGTTCCTGTTCAGGACAATATTAGTCCTGTGACTAAGATGCCAGGTGCTCACTATTAACCTCTAGTTCTTTCTCTCCCCTACCCCTTTTTTAGAGGCCTTTGAGTCTTTGCTTCGTTTTGCTGAAAACCGCACAAGTTCCCTCTTTGAGACAGCTTACAGACCTATGGCAAAAGAAGCAGCAGAGCCTGTTAAAGAACTTTTTACAGACATCTCTCTCTACATTCTGGGCGCAGAGACTACAGTGGAAAGTGCAGTATTACGGTTCTTTGACAGTCTCTTTCCTCTGGTGTATAGTCGGCTAATAAACCCAGGAATTACAGATTTATCAGAGGACTACACAGAGTGTCTACGGCTTACAAGGCAAGACATAAATCCTTTTGGACGTTATTCTAAAAACATGGTTACAGAGCTGTCAAAATCTCTTTGGGCAAGTAGGATGCTCAGCCAGGCCCTCAGTCTGGGCATTGAAGTGATAAATACTACTGAACACGCAGCTCTCACGAAGGAATGTAGCAAAGCTCTAGTGAAGATGCAGTACTGCCCGCACTGCCAGGGCCTGACGCTGATCAGGCCGTGTGTTGGATATTGTCTAAACGTAATGAGGGGCTGTTTGGCCAGTGTGTCAGAGCTGGATGCACAGTGGAGGGAGTATATCTCCACGCTGGAATACCTGACTAATGAAATGGCCGCCTCACATGATCTGGAAATTGCACTGACGGGAATCCGGAATTCCATCAATGAAGCCATCCTGCACGCTCAGTTGAATGGACCACAGCTCTCTGCTACAGTAAGTGCTTTCTAATTATTTTCTAGTCCCACTTATCACTTTCATTACTTGATGAATAAACATTTAAACCAGTTGGTGTTGTCTTTGCATCAGTTTTTAGTCTCCAACTAGATCTTTGTGTAATAGTCTGTGAAAACATTACAGATAATTATGATGGAGTTCAGTAGCGTCTGCTTTGAAATGAAAGGAGGGTGGGGGGAGGTTTGTCCCTTGGGAAGCATCGCTGTGAAGCAGATAGCCCTGGCTTGTCTGCAGAGTTTTCTAAACAAAATGTATTATACTTGATGTCATCAATGTATTTTCACACTTTAAAACATTTGATTCTGTAATGCTGGGAGTAGTGTTTCCCTGGCGTGTAAGCATTTGTAGTGTGTGAGGACATTTCCCAGGCACTGATATGAGGGGTTAGAAGAGTGGGCTTCTAAATAAAGGCAGGGAAATTATTATTATTATTTTTTCATAATTTTACAGTCCCTTTACTTTTGTGTTGACTGAGACATCAGGAAGGTAGTATGGGTCTATAATGAGTACACCCATCATACAAAAGTTGGAAAAAAGAGCATGAAAAAAAAATTAAACTTATTTGACAGCATTTATTTAAGTAAAGCATAAAAATACACTTAAAGTGGATCTGTTTCTGTAAGTAGGTAGGTTAAGGAGGAAATAACTAGGATGGTGGAACTGTCTCATAAATAATAGTATCATATGACTGGCAGGGATTCTCTCAAGGTGTTGAAGATTAGACCAGAAGTTACTGAAATGACTAATAATGCGTCTGACTACATCTGCCTGAAGGTCAATGTCAATGGGGAAAAAAATGTAGCAGCGTGGCCTTAGACAGGGTGAAGATTAATCTAAAAAAATGCAGATAGAACTGCCTGTCTTGAAAGTAAAGGAACTCTTGCAAAGAACAAATGAGAAGGAAATGCACAGATCTAAAAATTTAATGCCCCTGCTG